AATTGGCAACAAACTGCCACTTGTAAAAGAAACAGAGAGATAATAAATTCAGGATAATCATAGCCACTAACATATACTAAACTGTATTTGGCCCTCACTGTGCTAGGTATTTTAGTGTATTATCACATTTAATTTAACCCTCATAACCCTATGAGGCAGGTACCCTTGTTATCCTCAATTATAGATGAGGAAACTGGAATTTAGAGAGGTTAACTAATTTGTCAAAGGTTATATAACTAGATATGGCAGTGCCAGGACCCAAACATGGGTTGTTTGACTTCATGGTCTCAATTCATATCCTCTGTAATCAGGTAATTTTAAAAACCTGAGGGGTAGTGGGGGGACACACAACATCAATAAGAGTACCTGACTGTAAACCAGGCAAAGTGGGGACCAAAGAGAGGCCCAAACTTTACCTGTACGATGTCCACTTGCATACCTAATCCTGAATTGTACCCTACATCGTTAAAATAAAATATTTTTTAAAAGATTAAAAGAAAAAAAAAAACCCCTGAGGATATACATATCCTGATTCGCAAGAAAGAGAACTGCAGTGGCAAAGACTGTCGACATGGAAAGGATACTGTGTGACAGGAAAGAGCTTGGGTTAAACATAAGGAGGTATGGGACCTCTTTTCCAGGGTGGTACCAGAGTGACCAAAGAGAACTCAGTTCTTCTCTTTAGCGTAACAGAAAAACACAGTTACATACAACATAGGGTTGTTAAAAAATGTTAAAGCAAAATGAAACTCCAAAACATCATAGAGACACCAATACAAATGTTAAAAAGAATAATTTTTTAAATGAACAACAACAAAAAAGAACATATTATAGATTTAACAAGCATAGAAAATGTCATGGTAGAACTTAAACTACAAATAAACTAATGAACATTAACCTAAAGGCCTTCAAAATGACAGTAAGGCTGTCAGGGATTAGCCTTTTCCACTCTCCAATCACATCACTGCCACCTAAAGTCACAAAAAATGCTCTCAATGTTAGTAAGTTTTGCTGTTGTTGCCTATTGCAGAAGACACTTGTAAAACCATAAGCCTACATCATGGCCCAAATTAGTCCAATTTAGGGCAATAAAATATACATATATATTTAAACTTATATCTATTTATTTCAATATCATAAGACCTGGAACAGAAAGAATCTAGTGATGCTGTGTGACCTACAGAAACTGAGATAAGTGGGCAATGGTTCAAGCCACTAAATTTGTGGTGGTGTGTTACACAGCAGTAGGAAACAACCAATAAGAAACAAGACAGTTATTAAGTCCAGGGATGGGAGCAGGAGACTGTGCAAGAAAGGAAAAGTCATCCTGCCATATGTAGGTTTTAAATGATGCTGCCAAGACTGTCTTGCCATCTGTGTCTCTCCCCCTTGAAGCAGGGCCAGCCTTAGGGGGTCGCCCATACCAATAGAATGTAGTGGATGTGATGCTGAGGAAATTCTAGGGCTAGGTCTGTTGCAGCCCTACTTTAGAACCCATTTACCAGAGAGTTTGGTATTGGGTTTTCAGTCAAAGCACAGATTTTCCATTTACTATTTAAATAGTTTCCATTTACTATTGTACTTTGTCAACATACCATTCTTAGAAACTTCAAGGAGAGGAGGATGCTTATAAAGAAGCAGAATTTGGCCATTCTTGGATCCTCCAGTCATAATACCATCAAACTGCACCATTAACCTCTGGCATAAACTAGCCACAAAAACACTCTCAGTAGCAGTCACAATAACCAAAAAAAGCAAGATATTTAAATATTTAAAGATAGGAAGGATTGTCAATTACTGGTTGGAAAAATGTTTCTTGTTCTATCTCACCCTGGAAAGTTTTTTCAAATTCATTTGTTGTAAAACCCTAAGTAACGTTTTAGTCCCTTCCTTTCGAATCCAAACGAGACTAGAACATTAACAGAAATGTTTGGTTGAATGAAGACATTTCCTAAAAATATTTCAATAAAAAGTCTTCTCATGCCAAAAATAAATTTTCATCTTATTAATTAAAATCAACAAATACTAATAGATAGGCACTATGAGGCTAAAAGATAAGACAGAATCCCTGTCTTCAAGGAGGTTATAATAAACATAAGTACTTTATTAAGTATAAGGCACAATATGGTAAGTTCTATAGAAAGATACATGTAATGGGAGAGACCACATGCCACTGGAGGGTCAAGAAAGACATGTCAAAGGATTTGAATAGCTTCTCCAAAACACAAAATGTTCAGCTCCTTTGCTTTTATCTACTCCCAAGCCCTAAACCTTGCGTTCACCTGAAGTTATTCCATCCTTCAAATCTTAAATTTTGGAAACCTTTTTCAGACTCAACTCGAAATCTCTACTGGAGGGGAATGTTTATTCTGTCCTTCACAAGGCTCCACAGAGGAGAGAGGACTATTGTCCATTGCCCAGCAGAGGGCAAGTGGTTAATCCCATTGGTAGGACTGGCAAGATTCTTTCCACCCCTCCCTACCTTGTCTTCACTTAGGAGAATGAAAAAATAAGCAGCATTTGGCCTTTTCCTATAGAAGCTACTCCAAACCATCCTAAACCCTTACTTACCTCAGATAACCCTGTCCTTCATTTCCACTGAGAAAACAGTAGCAATGTGTTTTGAAATATAAGGGGGAACCCCCCAAAATCAAGAATTATCTTTTGGAGAGCAGGCTCCTTGTAGGACAGGCTTCCCCTCCAGGAAAGTGCTCTGGGAACCCATCAGCATCAGTATACCTGCTAGTGTTGCTGTGAAAGGCTGCATTTGGCTTCAATATATATATTTTTTTAATTCTCTCAACGCATTTGCCCATTTCATGATGGGTGATCTACATGAACAACATGAAGCAGTGAAATTTTAACCAAAAACAGCATGACCTCAGGGCCCTAACCTATTTACCCAATCTCACCCTAAGTGACTTTTTTTGTTTCCCCAGATGAAAAAAGCCCTCAAAGGGAAATGTTTTGCTGATGAGGAAGAGGTGAAACAAAAAACAGCAGAAGCACTAAAAGGCATCCAAATTGACAAGTTCAAAAACTGCTTTAGCAGTGGAAAAAGCAACTCGATGAGCGTATTGCATCAAACAGAGAGTACTTCGAAGATGACTGAAGTTTAAACACATAAGAATAATACACAGTGTTTTATAAATAAATTCCTGGTCACACCTGCTTCCATAAACATTCCATCTCCTGTTCAATGCTAATCTCTTAACCTATTCTCTGGCTCCTATGCCCTTCTGCTTACTCAGCAATCATACCCCACCCCTCATTTCCTCTCTCTCCTGAATCTTCAACTTTTGGTTGCAGCAATTTATTCCTCTCTTCATATAAATACACTCAAAGCCCATTTTAAAAACATAGCCAAAGAACAACGACAAAACCAAAATTCTCTTATGGCCTAAACATTCCTCTAGCTATCTCTGCTCTTCTTCTTTTAACAACCAAGTTTTTAGAAAAAGTCATCTACCCTGATTCTGTCTGCCTTTCACTTTGCATTCACTGTGCAGCCTAATGCATGCACGAAAACTACTCACATCCATGGGACCAAATGACATCCAAGTTAACAAATTCAACAATCACTCCAATTCTTTGACTTCACCTCCCAACAGCATATAACATTAAACAATTTCCATCTTGAAACTCTCTTCCACTGAGTTATTAATAACATCGACTCCTGATTCTCCTTCTTTACTCAGTCTTTATCAGTCAAGCCTTGAATTTTAACATTTTCCCAGGATTCTATTCTTGGCATTTCTCTTCTCAAACTAAAATCTCCCTAGGGATGAGGGAGGGGGGGAAGAATATTTACACTATGAATTATCCCACATGTCCATAAATTAATAAGACTAAGCCTACATTCCTTTGCTTCCTCCCCAACCCTTACCCCTACCAGTGATCACCTATATCATGGTATTGCTCTGTATTTGCTTATCAGTCTGTCTTCCCTGCCCTGGCATGCCTGTGGGATGGACACCACACTACTGTCAGGAGTGGTGGCTTCCTAGAGCAAGAACTGGGTGTGTGGATAGGGTTGACAACACCACAAAAGCAATTCATCTTCGAGGACCTAGGGAATATTCAGTTATAAAAAGTACCTCACATGAACTTCTCTGAATTATACTGTGAATATCTTGAGGGAAACCGATAGACAGATGGATAGATAGATAGATAGATAGATAGATAGATAGATAGATAGATAGATAGACAGACAGATGGATTCATCTCTGAATGTCTTATACTTAGCACAAGTGTAGGAATTCAATCCATATTCTGTGAATGAAAGAATTAGGAAAAAGATAGGATATCTGAAAGAAGCTTTGAGGAACTAGTAGAATTTCAACAGCTATAGATGGGGGAGAAATCCTTCAAGCCAGAGGGAACAGGGAAAGTACAGGCACAGACAGAACTGCTAAACTGGTGGGGCATATAAGGACAAATAACTGTCAGGTAACACTAGCATGCCAAGGGAGGATCTTTCAAGATTTGAAGACTGAAGGAACCAGTGAGGTCTTTAAGCCATGGAATTTGTGATTAGAAAAAAGAAACTGGAACACAGCTACTGAATGAATTGCCTAAGTGAGAAGAAATGAAGGCCTGAACTCTAGCAACTTCCTGAACAACAACTGGAGTGAAAGTAGAACAGATGGAGAAAATAGTATTTTTAAGACTGAAGGTAAATAATTTTTTTAAATATTTAAGAACAATGGAATTAGTTGAAGTATTAATGCAAAGGAGGTAAAAATTTAAAGCACTAAAATGTAAAAGACTAAAAGAGAAAAAAAAAATTTTAAGGTTATTTAACCCCAGGCTAACTGAGTCAAACAATCAGAAATGGTAGTGAGTGCTAGAATGTGCAATGTACTTAGAGTTTGTGTTGGTAAGAGCTCCAACGTGCATAAGTTGACACACAGTTGGTCACTGAACAGGGCATTCTGTACACGCTTAAGAAAGGTCATTTTATAACTTTTAGGTAGGGAGTTAGCAGAATACAATCATACCGTGAAGCTGTTGTTAGCATTTTTTGTGCTTGCTTCAGCTACACTGGCATCTGAGAGGTCAACTTCATCAAATATCAGAGACTGTTAATGAAAAAGAACACAAACACGATTAAATGAAAACCTAAGTCAATGCTCCTCAATACGTTTTTACTATTAGGTTATAACTCTGAAGCTATGTCAGGAATTAGGAATAGAAAATGAAAACAATAAGTTAGTGATACTCTACAATTTCTTTTTACAAAGGATGAGCAAAATCATGAAGGACAACTAATCCATAAATCCCACTTTGAAAAAGACTTTAAAGAACCCCTGGGCACACTGCTTCAGTGCAAATGCTCTGTGCTCTCTGGAAGCATAACAGCTACCACTTATGGGTAGCTTCTGAGAGTGTTGCATACACACACACAACACAACCTCTCTAAGCTTGTAACAACTCTGCCAGGGAGGCAAAGACTGAATATCATTGTTCCCATGTTTGCTCAGTGAGAAATGAGAACTAGTCCTGGCTTAGCTCATGATGAATTTCTGAACTGTCCTGATGTGTTCAAATGAGATGGTGAATGTACTCTTCAAGTAGAAGATGAATTTTTACCCTCCAGTACTCTTAAAAGTTGTTCTAACCAAAATAGTTTCAATGGTAAAAACTCCATAGAAATGGAATATCTTAAAACATACAAAGTAACAATTAGGAAATTCTTTTCTTTCTTTTTTTTTTTTTTGAGTTGGAATCTCACTCCATCACCCAGTCTGGAGTGCAGTGGCACACTCACGGCCACCCAATGTCAACCTGCTGGGCGTGATTCTTCTACCTCAGCTTTCCAAGTAGCCAGAATTACAGGTGTGCGCTACCATGCCCAGCTAATTTTTTGATTTATTATAGAGACAAGGTCTCACCATGTTGCCCAGGCTGGTCTCGGACTTGCGGGCTCAGGCAATCCTCTTGCCTCGGCCTCCCAAAATGCTGGGATTACAGGCTTGAGTCACAGCACCCAGCCAGGAAATTCTATTAAAGAAATGCATGCTTCCCTCTTTTAGTCAGTTAATCATTGCCCACACTCATTGTTCTTCTAGCAAGGAAGGCAAAACATTGCACCTCTAGAACTATAGAAAAGGGGCCCCCCATTTTCTGACAGCTTCCACTCCCCTCCCAAGGTCTCCAGAGGGTTTTGCTAGTCCACTTCAATTCAACCACTTTGACTAGAAGGCTTGTTTCTTGACTGGAAGGAATTTACAATCTAGTATAGGAGATGAAATAGACACAACTAACTTTAATGTAATATAAAGAAAAGCGAAAGAGAAGAGATATGAAGAAAGGCTATGGAAGGTCATGGATGACTTATCTAGCAGAAAACAACTGAACTCTTTCTCTTGTGAATGATGGAATAAGGGCTATTTGCAGAGTATTTTAAAGAAAACAGGGAATTTCATCAAGTGGAGACAGAGGGAAAGTCATCCTGAAGATGGTAATATGGGCTGATGCTGAAGGCTCTCAAATAGCCAGTGCTGTCTAGCTATAAATGTGAAATATCAGGATGGAGCCAGATCAGGGACAATCTTGAACATAATGACTTGTAAAATAAGATTATTTTATTTGGTTATGACTTCTATAGCTGCATAAAACAAGAATTAAGTTTGTGTGTTTGTTTTTGCTCCTGATGTATAAACTCACCTAATTATTTCAGGAACATATATTTTAAAATATGGAAATGATTTTTTATTCAATTGGCACGCAGCAAAAAACTTTAATGTTTATTTTTTAAGCAATACTAAAATATCAGTTTTAATGGAGGTTCATCATGACAAATGTTTCTCCCCAAACTGCATTATTATTACTTAATTCAATAGTTATACAAGAATATTCTAAGTCTTGATTTTATTTCAGTATTATTTTTATTCTTAATTGCTAGCATCTTGGAGTGATTATTTTGCGTCAGGTACTATGTCAGCACTTGACATGTCTTATCTCCTTTAAGCCTCCTCTTCAAAACACATGTTATCCACAACCACTCCGCTGGAATGTGCTGGAAGTGGAATACAAACTCTTATCTGAACCCGGAGCACGAATTCTTAGCAGCTATAGAAACTCTCTCATGGTCAGGGAAAAATTTCTAAGGTAAAAAGTGGTAGAAAAGGAAGAAACTCAAAAGTTGGAGTTTATTGCATCTAATAAGGTTATATTTAATGTTTTAGAAGGAAGGAGGGAGGGAGGGAGGGAGGGAAGGAAGGAGAGAAGGAAACTACACTAGAGCTCTCCTAAAAGATTATCCTTAGGGACATGTAATGGGACTGAGTCAAATAGAGCCCCTGAGATGAGGTCCAGGATGGATCATATTTACACTGAATTCATATCAGTAATGCTATAGTGAGCCTCCGAGACACAAAAAAGCTTCTACAACCAAAACTTTAAATCCACCCTAACCTCAAGTGCTTTAAACTAGTACCCTCTGGAATTACCTTTGAGTCCTTTGCATAGTAAAGCGTACGGCCTCGAAGCTTGAAGTATCTCTTTTTCCACCTTTGGAAAGAACTGGTTTGCTTCAACAGCTGTCCCTCTTTAACACTGGTCTAGAGAGAAGCAGAAACACAATGACACAATTAAGATGAAATTTAAGTGAAGTTCAGAGTCAATGACACATTATCATTAACATTTTGAATAATCGTTCTCATGTCTTGTAAGTTATATGAGAATATTTTATTCTCATCAGAGTTGAATCAAAGAAGCACGTGTGCAAAGCCCCAAAGAACAAACGTGAATTGGACATGGTTCCCTGCACTCACAGAATTCACAAATAACATGCAAGACACTTCCACACAAGATAGCATCTGCAGTGCATTGTGATGTGCACACTGCCTTGTATACAGTAAGTATGGTGGCGGTGCAGTAAAATACTATGATTATGCAAGTGCATAGGCTCTGGAGTCAGAAACCTGTGTCCTGGTGCCACTACCTAGTAGCTGAATGGTCAAGTTACTAAACTACTTCATGGCTTTATCAATTCATCTGTAAGATGAAGGCAACAACAGAACATACCTTGTAAGGCTGTCATGAGAAACAAACAAAAAATACATAAAGGACTTAGTGCATGGCACATAGTAAGTGCTCATGAAGTGTCAATTATCTTCAGCTATGAGTTATTTATAGCAAACACATATACAAAGTACTGTGCATGGTGGTCCAGAGAAGGAAGGAAGCACCAGCTCGCCTCAGAGGGAGTCAAAGCAGTCTTCCCAGACGAGGGCCCAAGGAGGTTCTTGATGGAGTGTATCAGAATGACAAGGAACAGAGAAGGGCATTTTAAGTGTGTGCAAAAAGTAGAAATGTTTACAACATGTATCTTTGGGGAATCTTCAAAAAAACTTTCTGTTACAAATGCAACCAAAGGTTTGCAAGAGGGAGTGGTGGACATAGGGCTGGAAGAGGCAGGTAAGGGTTCTGCAGCACTGGGCACGCCTTGGTTAAGTATATTTCATTGTCAGCGAACTACTTTGAATCTCTCTGACCTCATTTAGTAGCTGTCCCTCTCTTGGTACCCTCAGTCCACAATGAATGCCTGACTTATCAGTGGGCATATGTGCTTCTACCTGAGACCTGGGCACTACCTCCTAGTTCCTTTCTCAGATACCCATCTGACTGGCTAACTCCACCATCTCCAAGACTTGACCGTCTTACGAGACCCACCACCTTGACCAACTGTTTAATACTGCAACACATATTCTAGTTCTCCATATGTTTGCCCATCCTGATTTTATTACCCACTCCCACAGTACTTTCCATTTTCTGACATGAAATGTAATTACTTATTTATTATGTGCATGTGCTACCCCTATTAGAATATAAGGTCACTGAGTTTATTGTATCTCATAAAGTTAAATTTAATGTTTCATTTTAATTGGAAGGAAAGAAGAAAGAAAAAAAAGGTCGGGCGTGATGGCTCATGCTTATAATACCAGCACTTTGGGAGACCAAGGTAGGAGATTCATTTGAGGCCAGGAGTTCAAGAAAAGAAAAAAACGATAGGATTACCTGAGCCGACGGGTTTGAGAACAGCCTGGGCAACTTAGCGAGACCTCATCTCTACAATAAATCAAATATATTAGCCAGGTGTGGTAGCGTGCACCTGTTTCCGGCTACTTGGAAGGCTGAGGCAGAAGGCTCGCCTGAGCCCAGCAGGTTGACGCTGGGGTGGCCGTAAGCGTGCCACTGCACTCCTGCCTGGGTGAAGGAGTGAGACTCCAACTCAAAAAAAGAAAAGAAAAGAAAAGAAAAAATAAAGCAAACTACACTATAGTCTTCCTATAAGATTGATCTTAGGAAACAAGTCACAAGACTGGCTCAAATAGACCCCTTTTGGACAGGATCCAAGATGGATCACAGTCATACTGAATTCAGTAAAAGAATAATAATGCTATAGTGACCCTCCAAGACAAAAACAGCTTATAGAATCAAAATTTTAAATCATCCCACTGGATTGCACATTGACATACCTCAAGGGCCTAGAACATTATCTGGTACACACGATAATGAGATCTATATGAATGAATGACAGGGGCTGCCATTAAGCCCCTGTCTGTCTGATTCCAAAGTTTATTCCCTACTGTTACACCATACTTTCTCTTATTATCAACAAGAAATAAAATATTGAGAAAAGTTTGTTGTCTTCAGTAAGGTAGTTAAGTCATATTAATGTTTACTTTCAATTTCAATAAGAAATTTATTGTGTGAAAAAAAAAAAAAGAAATTTACTCTACAGTTTGTTCTAAGACTGTCTTCCAGGAATTGATGTGAGATCAGTGCAATTTAATGATAACAAAATACTTTTGAAATTTCAGTACCAAAGAGCCAATTTAGAGTCAGACAGACAAATGTCAAGTCAGGCTCTAACACACAGTAACAGTATCAACCTGGACGAGTTGCTCTGACTCTGTGCCCTAGTTTTCTCTCCTAAAAAATGGAAATAACAATACCAACTTCACAACCTTGCTGTATCTAATTTAATTATAAGATAAAACCTGTAGAGCACTTAGCACACTGTCTGGGTTAGAGAAAACATTCAATAAATGGCAGAAAGTGTTATTATTATGATATCATTATGCTATTAAGTCCAGGGGGTATTTGCCAGGCATCAAATTATAAGAGCTTCTTGGAAGAAGTTAATAAGCGCTCACAGGCCACTGTCAGGACAAATAACAGTTGGAGTAGAAGGAAAGTATCAAGAGATGAGGTTATAGGAGACAAGAGCCAGGACACACTGGCCACAACAGGGAGCCTGCTTTTTATTCTAAGTGCAAAAAGCTAGTGAAATGTCTAAGGCAGGAAAAGTGACAATGGGGAAATGGGTGAGAAAGGAAGTGGTGATTCTAATGGCAGCTGTGGTGGAGAACCGCTGCCTTAGATGAGGGCAGGGTCTAGCTTTTCATCTGACCCTATTATAGCTGCTGGAGTCCACACAGAAGCATGGTTGGAGAGGCTTCCTGAGAGGCAGCAGTTGAGGAAGGCTGGGTGTCAGGAGAAAATCTTGCCCTGATTAGCCTCCTGGCAGCAGCAAAAAGGGCTGCTGGAGTGAAATTCCAGACACCAGTTTGCACAAACACTCAAGAAAAATAGACTTAATGCGTGCATTCTAAGGCTACAAAGTCACTCCCCCCGCCCTACAATTGTGTTGCTACATAGGACTCATTTTTAAAGAGTAAACCACTATTTAAACTACAATATGATACCAGCTTAATGCACAGGGGGTGGGACTAGGTTATCTTCTACCATCTCTCCCATCTCTGGGGCCCATAAACCACTAAACACAAGTCAAACCCTGTCACCAAATATACTGTTACCACCACTCACACAGCATAAATACAAAGGTCTCCAAGTCCCATCCAAAAGTCTACTTATTTTTAGCAATATTTAATAAATTGGAATCCTAGTACAGAAAGGAAATAATGTACATCAGTAATTCAGACTGGCTTACATTCATTAATTCTACTTTTATATTCCACAAACTGCACTGAAGCTTCACTTATAACAACAATAAAAATTAAGAAAACATATCTGTACCCAAGGTAATAAAAGAAAAACAGAATCTTAGAAGAAAACTTAGGGAACACCCTCCTAGACATGGCAGTAGACAATGAATTCATAGTCAAAAACCTCAAAAGCAAATGCAGCAAAAGCTAAGATTGACAGGTAAGATCTCATCAAACTAAAAAGTTTTTGCATAGCAAAAGAAGCCATCAAGAGAGTAAAGAGACAATCTACAGAATGGGAAAAAATATTTGCAAGCTATGCATCAAACAAAAGCCTAACATCCAGTATCTACAAGGAACGGAAACGACAGGGAAAAAGAACAAATAACCCCATTAAAAAGTGAGCAAAAGACATGAACAGACACTTCTCAAAGGAAGACATCCAAGTAGCCAACAAACATATGCAAAAATGCTCAGCTCCACTAATCATCAGAGAAATACAAATCAAAACTACAATGAGATACCACCTCACTTAGGACAGGATAGCTATCATTAATAAGTCAAAATACAACAGATGCTGGGAAGAAAAGGGAACGCTTTACAGTGTTGGTGGGAATGTAAACTTGTTCAACCTTTGTGGAAAGCAGTGTAGCGTTTTCTTAAAGCACTAAAAATTGAGCTAAAATATGATCTAGCAATCTCACTTCTGGGAATATAACCAGAGGAAAATAAATTACTCTACCAAAAAGGCACCTGCACACATATGTTCGCTGTAGCACTATTCACAATAACAAAAACATACAACTAACCCAGATGCCCATCGAAAATGGACTGAATAAAGAAAATGTGGTACCATGTCCTGGGCACATGAGCACTAAGGCAGAAACAACTGATGCTGGGACACTACTAGCAGTGGGAGGGTGGAGTGAGAATAAGGGGCATACAACCCAACAACATTGGGTGCCATGTCCATTACTAGGGGGAGAGAGAGGAGGCTCACTAGAAGCCCAAACCTCACCCGCACACAATTTACTTATGTAGCAAATCCTCACATGTACCCCACAACTTTTTGTGTGTGTTGAAGTCTCACTCCGTTGTCCAGGATGGAGTGCAGTGACACACTCACAGCCACCCCAGCGTCGATCTGCTGGGCTCAGGCGATCCTTCCGCCTCAGCCTTCCAAATAGCCGGAACTACAGGCATACACTACCACGCCCGGCTAATTTTTTGATTTATTGTAGAGATGAGGTCTTGCCAAGTTGCTCAGGCTGTTCTCGAACCCATGGGCTCAGGCAATCCCCTCACCTCGGTCTCCCAAAGTGCTAGGATTTCAGGCTTGAGCCACCGTGCCCAGCCTACAACTTTAACATTTAAAAAACAAAAAAGCAGTTACTCTCATGGAGGGTGAAGAGAGTGGATAGCTCTGTTCTATGTCCTGTTATCTGGATGTTGTCAGAATTGAATGCTAAATTTTACGGAAAGGGACTTGGAAGCTTGTAGAACTGTTCACATTCATCTTTAAGTTTTATGCAGAAATATGCCTTCATTTTTCTTGGGTAAGTACCTAGGAGTGGAATGGCTGGGTCATATGATAGGTGTATGTCT